TTTAACAAGTAACAGGGAGATTTTCCTCACAAAAATATGAATTACAGTGACCTAGATCTATATAAATCATCACAAACATAGCTCAAGAACTTAATGTTGAATAAAAAAGCAAGTGGCAGAAGGGTAAGTACAGTGTGTTATTTCTGGAAATGTATATAAGTAAGAAAAACTTTAAAAATTATGTATATTGTGCCTACTGGTTGCCCGGTGTGGAGCTGCCCGTGGGGAAGAGAATAAAGGGAGAATTGCAAAAGGAGGTTGGTGGCTATTAAAGAAAACTTCAGTTCTCTTCTTCTCTTACCATTCCTCCCTCCTTCACTTCCTTCCTTTCTTATTTATTTATTTATTTATTTATTTATTTATTTTTGGTACCGGGGATCGAACTCAGGACCTTGCGTTTGCGAGGCAGGCGGTGAAACCACTGAACTAAGCCCCCCGGCCATCTTCCTTCCTTTCTTAAAGAATGTAAGTGTGAATTGCTTGTGTGGTTTGTATACACATCTACATGCTAGGGCCAAAGGTCACCAACTGAAAATATATACTTATATGTATATATGTATATGTGTATATCTTATGTTCACTGCACCAGACTGCTAATATTATGATAACCAGTGATCTTTTTTTTCTAAATCAGATGTTCCTTAGAATAACATGGGTGAAGAAAAGAATGAGAAGAGAAATCCATCTATGTTTCAGTGATCAGGGTTTGAATAAGAATCTGAAAACATTTGGGGCAAAGCACTAAAGATGAGGAAAAAATACATAAGGACAAATCTGCAAGGCAGTTAGTCTATATCTTGTAAAACATATGTTACAATATATGACTTTAAAACATTTTTAATTTGAACCAAATAAAAGTCATAAAAACCTATCAGGCTAAAGCGTGGAGAAAATGAATCCATAACACTGGCTTGACTTGAAATAAATGTTTCATAAATTTGACTAAAACAGTCTTCTGTATGGCTGCATTTTCTGTTAAATGAGTGGCTGGAGAAGACAATGGCTGCCAGAGTGTGTGGGAGCATGACCTGCCAGCAGAGGCTCTGATCTGTCAGCAGACATCAGCCCTACAGAGACAGATCCTCTTCGTTAAAAGGCAACTTTTGTCTGGAAAGTTTCCCTCCAGCAATACATAGACCACAGCAAAAATATTAATAGAACACGTGAGGGCATAAAGTCCCAGCTTCTGTGACTGATCATCAGTCTGCAATCTCCTAGGTCTTAAAAATGAAGCCATACAAGCAAGGCCATGGAGGCCGAATGTCACTGTGACCGGGAGCACATATACATTGGACTACAATTTATTCTCTGGCTTTGTATTTCTGTGTCCTTTCTGTGTTTGGCAGGACTGTTTCCATCTAATCTCAGTGTTTCAAGTGAAATGGGCAGGTTAGAATTTATAAATTATCTTAGATCCTCTCCTTGTCCACTTTCCTCTTTCCTTGCCTGGCCATTTACAGTGAATAATAAACTTACATTGGATACAGAATTAGAGGAGTTAGGATGAGAAAAGATATACTCCAAAGAAATGGAAGAAGCCAGTAGGCTGTAGTGAGAAAATTGTCCTTGGCATTTCAGTGAGAAGGCTGAAGTGAGTTTTGTGTGGTGACCTTGATCTCCTCTTTTGCTGTCAAAGCTGAGCAGATATTCTGCTGCCTAAAACATAAACAGAGCTCCTTGTGTGGAGTAGTGACCAGCTGAATAAATCATGGTTTCAGAATCTGACCTGATTTTTTTTTTCAGTAGAATTTTGTGTTCCTCTAATGGAAATGTTTTGGAATACAAGAGTGTATATGATTTCCTGAAAACAATTGGAGGCTTTGTAATGTGGGCACATCTAATGATAAACATGTTCTTCGGTAAAAACAAATATGGGGTTTTATTGATAAGCTGATGGCTGTACAGGAACTTTAGGCCATATTGACTTTAATAAAACATTAAGTGGTTTAATTAAATCATTTATTCCAACCTCAGTCCCATTTTTCAACAGACAATGTAAAAATAAAATGGTTTCTTTTTTTAGCTGGTTCTCTTTCCTCTATAATTCATTATGATGAGTCTATAGATTGACTTGTTGCTATTCTGCAATTGAGCACTTGCTGCCATTTCAGGAATACAGTACTTTAAGCAGGATAAAAGGAGTTATTGATCTTAAGGTGACATCTTCCTTCACTTCATAAAAGGGTTATTTTTTTAGAAAAATCTATAAACTGTGTATGAATGCAGAAGTTTATGTCACAACATTCTTATAATATTAATAAAATAATTATTAGCTTGTTTTTCTGTTCTGTGGGGAAAACTATGAAAGGTGTAAGCAATCTAAAATGGTAGCTTTCATGGATTAACTATTTAAATTAACTTTTATGAAAGTAATACAAGACAATTGTTTAAAAAAAACAAGAAGTTTATTAAGGAAATTAATAATCTTACGTTGCATCCTACCAGTGCTCTGTCCCCTCTTCCCAGAGGTAACCATGTGTTGAAGTATATATCTTTTAGCCTAGATCTAAAAGCAATTAATTTAAGGATTAAGGTTTTGAGACTTTTGAGTGGTATAAACCCAGGTAGGTAAGGGTGAGGGACAAGTGAGGCAAAGCAAGCTACAAAGCAATATTGTGTAACATGTTAAATCACATGACCTTAGCATGTAGGCTCTCCACATGGTCTGTGATGAGTAACCCCACCCCAAACACCGCATGGATAGAAAAAAAAGAAGAAAAATTGGTATCTTCAGTTTCCTCTTGCCTTCTTTTCTCCTTGGGTCAGAGTTCACACCTTAGTGAAGAAACCCTTCCGTTCTTCAGAATCCCATCATCTAGCCCCCAGTGGTCCCACAGGAATATCCATTCCACATCCTGTGTTAGCGCATTCCACTGAAGTCCAAGAGTGGAGGGGTGGCCTGGGATGAATAGGCTCAGCAGGTGGCATGTGGGAGCCATACATGTTTTGGATTTTACCTTAATTTCAGCCAGTTGGGGAGCTTGGCAAAAGCAATGGAAATGTGTGGGATTGAATGAGCCAGGCAGCAGACAACACCTTCAGAAAGGCGACTGTAGGGGTAATGTGAAGGATTCTGCAATATACAATCTGTATTTTATTCCTGTAATTATACTTTAAGACATCAAATATTAACTTCTTCGCCAATGAGTACAGTATTTGCAGGGGGAATGGTTTTAGGGCATTCCCTACCCCAGGTTACTGAAGTCTGTAGATGTTTAAATCCTTTATATAAAATGGTATAGTACTTGCATATAACCTATGGACCTCCTATTATATACTTTAAATCATCTCTTGATTACATATAACAGCTAATATAATATAAATACTATCAAAACAGTTGTAACCATCTTGTTTAGAGAATAGTGATAAGAAAAATGTGTCTGTACATTTCAATGTACACATATTATTTTTCTGAATATTTTATATCCATGGTTGGCTGAATCTATGATCATGGAATCTATGGACATGAAAGGATGACTATATATAAAACCTCTTACAGAAAAAAAAAAAACCTCTTACAACTCCTTTGTCTTCATTACTATTCCAATATATTTATATAACAATTTTTGTCTCAATTAGCTAAATTATAGTTAAGCTAAGTGCTGAGTATAATCAGAATTTTTTCTTTGATAACTTTTATTTTCCCCAGTTGCATTGTTTTTGTTTGTATTATTTTATAAATATTTGCTCTAATATTTTAAATTACAGCTGGCAATGATCTTTTGTTCTAAATCTTTACACATATCAGATACCCCATGAATTCCATTATTTTTCTCTCCAGATCTTTTCTGGAGCCCTGAGCCCTCCTACTTTAACCTGGACTGATTGTTTTCTAGCTGATGTGGAATCCTTTCGATGATGTGGAATCTTTGTTTTCTAGACCTCATATTTTACTTTTCTTAGTAAACTCCCTTGTTTTGAGTTAGTACTTCCCATGGTTCAGTGGCCCTTTCTAATGAGCTTTCCTCTCAGTTGAAACACTTCACTGCCTCCTTGAAGTTGTGCAGGGTCATTGACTAGTTTTGGCCATTGGGTTGTCAGTGGAAGCAACATATTCTTGTCCAGACTAAAGCAGTTCCTTTCCCCATAGAGGAATCCTGGTATTGAGACTAATCCTGCATTGCTGAACTGCCACAAAAGACATTTGCCCTGAAAAGTCTCTTGAACTCACCCAAAGTCCTGAGTGTTTGAGACAAACTTTTATAACATTATGCAATTGAGATTTTGGCATTGCTTATTATTTGGTCTCTTCAGATTGAGGCCAAGGAAAAAGGCTTCTGGGAAATCCATTTATGAATCTTTCCAACCTGAAAACATTGTTATTCTATCATTACCTTTGATGAGTATTGTGGCTGGATACAGAATTCTAGATTGGGAAGCAGCCCAATGCTATTCTAATTCCTATTCCTTTGTATATGACCTACCTTTTTTTCTAAAGCTTTTAGAGTCTTCAGTCCTTTCCTTACCACTGCTTTTTGACAGTTTCATCATGATATGTTGTGCTGGTCTTTTTTTTCTTTTGCCTTTTTATTTATTATTATGTTAGGCACTGTGAGGGTCAGTTTGGTGAGTTGATTCACCCATCATTTCTGGCAAAATTTATGTCATATCTTTGACAATTTTCCTTATTTTTTCTATATTCATAAATGAGATGTTATACAATTTACAGTGTTCCTCTTTTCCTCATGTTTTTGTTTCATTTTATGTTTCTTCTGGGTTTTAGTCTTACTTTGTGGAAGAAATTCTCAATTTTATGTCTTAATTCTTCTACTAAAAAAACCCTTAAATCCATTCTGTTTTAATTTATGAGTCCTTTCCTCTTATGCTTATCTTCTATAGAAACCAAGCTTTCTTTTTCATCTCTGAGAATAGAATCTATATACTTAAAACATATTTTAAAATTTATTTTGTTATTCCTTGCATTGCCCATAGTTTTTGAAGTTATTTTATCTTCTTGCTCTTAAAAAAAAGCTTTCATTTTGCAGATTTCTCTGAATAATCTGCTATCCAATCATTCAAGGAGTGGGCATGAAAACTGCAATAAGAACCTGTGTGCCTGGGCAGTGCTGGTGTACTTAGAAGCAGGGGACTTGCCTTTTAAGCAGAAGAGTGCCTCCGAACATCAGTATCTGCAGATCTTTTCTTGGAAACTATTCACTGTCTTCAGAGAGAATTCCCTTAACTGCCTTTGTGTTTGAGAGCAAGCCTGATTTCAAGCCTTTGTGGAGAAGAGTGGTAGAAGGAACTACCTCCTGGGAGCATCAAGACTTTCGGTCACTAAGAAGACCAAGCATTGAGACTCTGGTTCAGTTTCTCAGAGAATGAATGTCTTATCCTGTTACAATGAGAAGCAAGAACATGGTTACCTGGTTGCAAACGATGAGAGAATGTTGTACCTATGGAGTGTGGGCTGGAATGGATTATTGAGGCATGAGGAAGAGGAGGAGGAGGAGGAGGACGACATCTGCACAAAGGGTGTCAAGTGTGGGAGTTGGCGCCTGGACTGGGAGAGAGGAGCATCCACACAGCTTACGGCCTGGTATGCAGTCTCAGAGAGAAGATTGTCCTCTAGGAGGATTTCATACCACAGAGTGTGGGAGCCCAGAGAGTGAGAAGGGGATCACACTGTAAGTGTGTGTGTGTGTGTGTGTGTGTGCGCGCGCGCAGTTGTCTAACTTGGGGGGTTAGAATCCGAGCTGGGTAAGGAAGGCTTCCTTGTGGTGATGGATAGAGTTAGTTTGCACAGGCTACTTAAACAAATTAAAAACTTGGAAGCTGAAAACTGGAAATTAATTTTTTCCCAGAGGTCAACAAGAGATGGGGGAGGGGATGAACAGAGAATTAAAGTGTGTTATGTACATATACCAACTGCACAGGAAGGTAATTGTCATGACTGCAAACATGTAATAATGAAAAATAAAAACAAAAAATCCCAAGATCTAGAGATTGGAAGTCCAGAAGCAGTTTTACTGGGTTGAAATCAATGTGTGAGCAGGACTACATCCCTTCTGGATGCTCTACAGAATAATTGATTTTTGTGAGTTTTCTATCGTCTAGAGGAACGATGCTAGGATTTTTTGGTTTGTGACCCAGCACCACTCTGACCTCTATTTTCTTTGTTGCAGCTCCTCTGATTTTGATTCTCCTGATTCTATTTTAAAAGGACCCTTGTGACTGCATTCAGCCAACCTAAACAGTCCAGGAAATCTCCCCATCTCGAAATCCTTAGCAACATCTACAAAGGTTTTCCCTTCCTCCTTATCCTCCTTATTTTATTTTTTTTAACCTTAAAAGGTAACATTCATAGGATCCAGGGATTAAAGTGTGGATAATTGGGAGGGGGACATTTTAAAGCCTACCGTAGATATAAAATTAAATATATTTGTAAATGTGTTTATGTGTACACACATTCAATAGCTCTGCCTGCTAAGAGGGCCTGAGACTAGGAATACCCCCCAACATCAATGAATATAACTAGTAACTAGATGGCTTCAGTAGTATTTTGGGTTTTCCAAGAAGCATGTCCTACACAGACTTGGATTGCCTCATGTGAGTTGCCCAGGATAAAGTGTGACCTTGAGCAAAGTGGCTAATAAGTGGCTGATAGCAGACAGCCCTAGCTTAACCGGAAGGAATGAGGGCTTGATGAAATGGCTGACCCAGTCAAGCATGTGTCTGGACCATGTCTCAGTGTCAGAAAGTGAAGAAGCTGATGTAGGCATATCAAATGGACACAGACGCCAGTCCTACGGGCCAAATCTCAGACAATTGGAGGATCAAAGTAAGCAATGACAATAATAGATTATAATCTGTTGGATAAAATCAGGAATCACTAATCCACATGTATAAATGAATAATAAACTGAAAATGTCTTGAGGGGAGGGATATTTGAATCATTTAAAAGTATTTCTGTACAAACTATTCATTAGTGACAGAAGGATAAAGAACAGCTGTGCAAAGAAGCCTGCAACCAATACCTTAATCGAGTGATCAAAATAAACCTTAGTACTAATGGTGGGACTATTACAGCCTCACATCTATGATTATTTTAATCTAATCAGAAGGACACATCATTGTAACCAAAATTATCAGAATAATATGAGTAAATAACCAGCCTATAATCCTCAAAAAAATGCCTAGTTTGTGAAAGTCAAGCAACTATTCAAGAGAGAAGACTGAAGAGACATGTCAAGTGAATGCGATGTTTGGATTTGACAATTGGTGAATGGGATGTGGAAGTTAATTAGTGGTAATATAGCAGTGTTAACTATTTGATTTTCATGGTTACGCTGTGGTTGTGTAATAAGATGTCTCTGTCAAAAATTCACATTCATGTATTTGATTGTGATGGTGCCTCATGTTGACAACTTATTCTCAAATGACTCATAAATGCCTTTGTGCAATACTTACACCTTTTACCTAAATTCGAGGTTGTTAAAAAAACTGCAGTTGCTGCCCTAACTTTTGTCATAACATTGCTTCCAGATTATTGGCCCTCTTTTGAGCTGAGGGGAACAGGAGAGAATGCTGAAACAAAGTATAAAATGAGGGAACAAAAGTGGAAATATTGCCCTGACTCCTACTCACCCTGAGAACTGTCTCCAAAGGTTGGTTATTTTCCACTCAGACTTCACTCTTCTCTCCTTTCAACTTCTATACATCCTCACCATGGACATGACAGTAACTAATTTGCTTCCTGACCCTTTATTCTCAGTGCCTAGGCAAGGCCCTGGCACAAGGAAGATACAATGATCATTTGAACAATCAATGCTGTCCTTTGGAAATGAACTGGGCAATGAAATCTTAGAAAAAAACTTAGTTCAACCTTCGTTTGACACTTTGCACGAATGTGAAAGCTAAGCAGGAAAATAATCTTTTGTTTGTTTTGCTTCCTGTGTTATTTGTAATGAAATACTGTATTTATGGCCCCTCCACTTGCACACATTTTCCTCAACAGTTGCAGGTAATTAGCTGACAGGAATATTGCTGTGGAAAGTTCCTCTAGCCAAGATTATCTTACTCTTTCCAATTTCGGTTACCGTGATTCAAGGATTTGTGGAAAAAGATGCTTCTTCAACATGTTTGAGTCCAGGTTGAAGGATTTTTCTTGATCAGCTTTACCTTGGACCAAAATCTTACTTGCTATGCAGATCCCCTTTATTATTAACACTGAGTTCAAATCCCAATAGCTAACAGTAAAATTCTAATTGTAGCTGACAGTGGTTTCTAGGTGTCATGGTTATGCTAAGCTATTTTAAGCATTCATTTATTACTCCTTACAACAGGTTATGAGGTAAGTATCATTTTAATGTACGTTTTATAGCTGAAAAGACAGATACGAATCTGAGCTTTTGATAATGATTCCCAAAATGGGCTTCCAAGGGCTGGTGCTCTGGCCACACCAGGGAGCTGCTTGTCTAGATAATATCACCCTTCAGTTATCAGTTTGAGACCCAAGCTTGCAACACGGATCCTCCTGGTATTTTCCTACTTATTCAGTTCCAAATTCAATCCCCTATTTGTGCATCTGATGGATGGTACCAAATATCACATCTGGAACCCAAGCTGCTGTGGAATTTGGATATGGATGTCCTCCTCTGCTCTTTACCTCTGTGATATAGGAAGGAATACAGAAAAGGCACTGGAATAGACACAGAGCAAACTTGTACCCACTATGTTACTGAGGAACTTCTTGGGCTGGTTTAAATTGATGTGTGCCTACAGCAAGTTTGCAAACCCATCCTGGAGTACACCTCGCTTCAGTCTCAACAACTGAGTTCATATGTTTTTCACAGTGATTATCGTGACTATGCCTATCTGAATTAGACCTATTTCCATAATTCTTTTAGCCTACTTTCTCTTCTCTTAAAAGCCCTAGTTGTTTCCTACATGGATAGTGTATTTCATTGCTGTCTGGTGGAATTTTTATAGGATCACAGATTTCCTAGTTTTCCAGTCAAACAGAAAATCGTGACCTTCCACCACTCTGCTTTTTAGTGACACAGGATTGTGTAGCAATGCTCAGTCTCCAGCCAAAACTTCCTGGAGGAAGAAACTTATGTCTCCATTGCTGTTTGTTCTTTCTCAGTATCATATAAAAGTTTCAGCTTAGCACTGACCAATAAAAATGTATTGTTTAAATTACTGCATATGTAATTTAAAATGTTTTACTGACCACATTAAAAACTAAAAAAAAATAAATTCCTTTTAATAATGTATTTTACTAAACCAAGTGCAATATTTTACAACTGTAACATGTAGCCAATATAAAAATTACTATTGAAATACTTTACATTTTGTGGAACTAAGTCTAAATGCAGTATATTTTGCACTAAGAATACCTCACTGACCACTTTTCAAGTGCTCGATAGCTTTATGTGTCTAGAGGCTGTTTTTGAACAGTGCTGCTGGAAGTAGAGAGACAGCTGCTTTCTCTGGTTCAGAATGTGGTCATGGTCATGTGAGTTTAGGTACTTACTGTCCTGTATTGCTGTAATGCAGAGGCCCACGAAAGGGAATGAATCCATTGACATCACTTCTTTCAGTGACTTGGGCGTGCAGCAGGAAGCTGGTGCTACCACCATGCCTTTTGCTCTGCCCTAAGTGTTTTCAAGACTTTTCAGTGATATAAAGATGAAATGATGTAGCTAAGGACAACTTTATGACTGACAGTAATTTAGCCTATACTTCTTAGTACCAGCTACTTTGGGAACCTCATTTTTTTTCAAAGACATCTTTAGTTGGACTGGATTTCGAAGTCAGAAGGACTCCTTTTCCATAATGCTCTCCTCCCTCTCCCCCTTCCCTATCCACTTCTCCTCCACTGCTACCTCCCCCTACCTTTTTCTTCATTACTGGGGATTGAACCTTGGACCTTCACACTCAACTATGTCTTCAGTTCTTTTCAAAAAAGAAATGTATGCAAGTATGTATGCATGTATGTATGTACTTATTTATTTATTGTACTGGGAATTGAAATAAAGGCATTCACACTGAGCTGTATCACAAGCCTTTCTTATTTTTTATTTTGAGACAGGGTATAAGTCGCTAAGTTGCTCAGGGTGGGCTTGAACTTGCATTGCTCTCCCATTAGCCTCCCAGAGCACTGGGATTACAGGTGTGCACCACCACATTCCCCTTCACATCACTCATATAGTCTAAACTTTCAGGTATTTGGTGCAGTAAGTCTGGATTTTTCTCTTTCTAGCCCAAATTGTCATTTAAGATCTTTTGTTCCTTTTTCATGGAACAGAAGGTCAATGTGCACTGGAACAAGGCATTCATTATTTATCACATTCTTTAGCTGTGCTGCCTGTAATATTTCCTGTCATTCATGTCTTAGGCAAGCTAAAAACACACTTGTCATTTGGGCCAGAAGAATCTATTCTGCCCAGTTTTAGGGTCTTTTCTGGCTCTTACTTCTTGGCATCACTATGTAAAATTCTTTCAGTGCTTTTGGATTTTTAGGGACATTAATACTTAGTACCTTCTCAAATGAAGTAATACAGCCACTGTCATGGCATAACTCCTGCTTCTGGTGACCTGTCATTCCTTTGGAGGATACATATTCCTTAGATATATCAAGAACTCATCATTTTATGACTAAACCCTCTGTGAAGATTTGACCTTTTGTTTGTGTCAGTGAACTGACTTTAAGTTCTTTGAGAGAGAGAATAAAGGGCAACCTAATCCCTTTCTGTGGATCTCAGTCATCTCTTTTCCCCCCATTTTCTACTTTTACTGGAATTTCATGTTGTGTCATTGGGGTCACTAAGTATATCTTTGCCACACAAATCACTATTTATTTCTATGTTATAGAAGAGCTTATATCTCTAACTCCATTATTTTCAGATAACTTTAAATCAACTAGACTTTCAGGTTTCAATACACCTCAGTTTATTTATCTTGAAACTGAGAATTAAAAAATAACTGATCTCACCCTTTTAAATAAAGAAGATAGGAATTTCAAATGAATTGATTATTTAAACTTTTTCTTCCTGATGGTGTTTTTGGGGGGAGGTGGAGGAGATTATCTTTATTTTTCTCTTTTTTTTTTAATCATTTTTATTAGTGCATGTTTACAGTTCCTAACAATTACAATTATCATGAGAAGTTAGTACATGCATAGCGCATCTTAATTCTTTTTTGTTTCCTTCTCCTCCCTCCCTCCCTGCTCCCTACAAATTTTGATTCCCTTCTCATTTGCAAACACTCTATTTCCATTTTTCCTTCAATTCTCTCTTTTTAAAAATCCTTTCTCCTTCCTTCCCTCCTCCTCCATCTCTTCTTACTTGCAAAAGATCTCCCTACTTCCTTGATCTATCCTTTACTTTGCTGTTCATTTATATTTTATGTTTCTCATGTAAGAGAAGCCATGGGATATTTAAACTTGTGTGCCTTATGTGTTATTTCACTTAACATTATTCTTTCTGTTCCCACTTATTTATAACCAAGCAGTTTTTTTCTGGTTTACGTTGGCCACCTTTTGATAGAGTTTATTTTTAAGACAATTGGAGTCTCTTTGCTCTTAGTGTCTGGGCTAGGTGTTACTTCTCTTTTTCATCATAGTTTTTCTATATGATCTCAGCAAGTCATTTACTATTTTTATGTCTCTGCTTTATGGTACAAAGTAAGAATTTTACTATGTAACAAAAGAATGTATTGAGCGTTCTTGGTGTATAACACAGTTGACCTATGCTTTTAGGGCTTGTGCTTTGAGTTATTTTTATATTGGTAGAGAATTTTTAAAAAACATGATTTTTGAGAAAATAGGCAGAGTTTTAGAGATAAAAGCTAAGGCTTTGAAAGAGAACAAAGCTGAATTATGAAAGTATTTAACCTATTAAAAGTCCCATTATCAGTGGCAATACTCAACTGAGCCAAATAGTTGCAGAGTAAAGAAGAAATAATTTAGCTTATAACACTTTACCATCCTAAAACTAATTCATGACTGTGTGTATAAGTGGTAAAAGTCAGAGTGGTAGGGAATCAGAATATATTAGTACCTAGTGGTTCTACACTCATTCAGTGTTACAGGGATTTGGTATCATTGGATTTGACACTGGCTGGACTTGTGGAGGACTCAGCCTTTAGCTGGACTTGTGTGGGACATTGCTGGGATCCAAGCCCTCAGCTAGATTCACTGGGCCTTTATTGTGCACTCTTGCACTCCTTTGAATTTGAATTTTTGGGTAATTATCTGAAAATAATCCTATAAATTATGGGTCCTGTATTTAATGTATTCCCTTGCCAAAACCCTGACTACAACACATACTTTTAGCAAAATATTTAAGACTACAATGTTAAAGCAATGTCTACCTTTATAAGACTCCATCACATGACTTCATTCACACCTCTTCTCCCAGGTTGCTGCAGAAATAGCACAAAGCCTGGGCCTTCTAGGTGCCCCTGACTACCTCATCTCCATACTGGCCAGAGGATAACTGTTAATTGGAGTCTAGTCTCCCCTGACCCAGGGCGTTGCAGTTCCACGCTAAGCAAACTTTTTTGGATCTGAAGACTCTTTTCTGTGGTTCATTTTTCTGTGGTTCTCTTTGAACAAAGAAAATCTAGGGGTCTTCTATATGCAGTAAAATGTCATCTGCAA